ATACCAATGCCATATGCAAACTATGCGGGGATGCTTCCACACGACTGGTGACAAGAACTGTTGAAATGTTTTAATACATTATTGAATAAACTTCGTAGTTAACTTTTAGAACTATTTTTAAAAGTCATTTGTGTCTATTTTAAAAGTTTTCTTCACATCAAGTTAACAGGTAAGTCCTCACTAGGGGCAGGGGAGCAAATTTCTTCTTACATAAAATTCTTCCATATTTCCAGGACTCGTCTTGGAAAACTAGAGAAATTGAACAGCCTGATACCAAAAAGGGACATATTTAATATTTCAATAACAAGTAACTGAGGGAAGGTTGGAAGGTTTTTAGCAAATAAATCTATGGAAAAGTTACTAGCAGATCAACAAATGGGAACCAGACAAAATGGGTCATAGGAGCACACAGACAGGATTTTGTAAAAGTTTTCTGACCTCTGTTAAAAAACATGTCAGGGCAGAAATCTTAAAGATGCCATTGCTGACGAATTCCATGAGTTGGATATGAACTATTTAATTTATTATATTTAATTAATTGTTTGAGAGAAATAAAGATAACTAGAAAATGTGTCTAATGTCTGTATGGTTGGTGGTGGGTGTAGAACAATGACAATATGGTGACTTTATAGGGCCAATTGCTGACACATATGGATGCCAATGCTGACACATTCCTGGTAAGACTGGCTCTTCCAGGAATGTGCTTATCAGGAATAATCAAACTATGTGTTCGAGTATGTATTAATGGCAATCTGACAGGAAGAAGACCACTTGTCTTAGAACTATGTCATTGAACCTGTCTTTCCTTTACGCAGCAGTTGCACACTCCAGTATCCAGCTTCTGAGACAGATGTTTTTCTTCACAACAAGTTAGCTTTAATGTGTAATTCTAGTTTTGGATAGCAAAGGTGATGGGTTACTCTGTGATAACCCCGGGAATGGTTTAAAACTCTGAGGGTTTTTAAGTGTCCTGTGGGTCGTGAATGAGATTTCCAATCATTTCCTGCTCATGTGATCTCCTGTCACAAAGGAGAATATCCGCAGTGGGGAGTGGGATCTCGGTGAACATCATCACAGACAAACAAAGTAAAGGAGATTATGGATCCTCCACAATTTCCCCACCGTGGAGAACCTATAATATCCTTTACTTTATTACAGACAGACATACAAACACATTTCCTGCAGATCAGCTGCACACTCTGCACATCAGCACTCCCACCCTGCAACATCCCTGAAGCCTCTCTACTATCTACTTCAACAATTCGGATTCAAGGTGAATGGAAAACAAGATGTACATCAAGCTTTCAAACTTGACTTCTACAAGTCCACTATCCTTAATGTCATTATATTGTATGTACTATTCTCTTCTCTAAATCTCCTCTTCTCTGATCTTTTAGGTGATAGCTTTATTTAGATACCTATTTCATGTCTTTCTAACCTTGACTCAACTTATGTTAATTTGCCCCCGACCCCTTATTTGTACTTTGAAAAAGAAGGGGAAAAAATAACAGCCTGTTGACCGTTTGTTTTTTTCTCTCCAACTTTCTTTTCCTCACCTCTACAAACAGATAGTCTTTCTTAGCAGCCCTGCAGATCAGCTGCACACTCTGCACATCAGCACTCCCACCCTCCCTCCCCTCAACCCACCCACCCCATGGTGCACTTTACCTATATAGGAACACAATAAAACTTGACCTCACTACCATTCAGGTGCCCAGCAGCTGCTTTGCATCTACCACTCTGCCTGTCACTCACACAATCCCACTTTAACATTTTCCATACCTCTCTCTTTGCATACTGCCACCCTTTTATTCCTACTACTCCTCATTCATTCTATTGTCTCATACTTACTCTGCACAGCCAAGGGGTAAGGTCACACTCTCCACTAAACATTAAACATTTCTGAAAATATAAATATCCAAATTCCGATATCTTCTCTCCTCTGTTAATATGAATTCTCTACCTTTACTTCTCACTATTTGGGCCTCTCTTCTTAAACTGTTTTTTCCTCACCCCCCCTCTCCACCCCACAATTTATATATTTTGCCCTCTCTCCTGCCCTCTCCCTATTACTGCACTCATCATCTCCTACTCATTCTAAATCCAAATGCTAGGTTTACCTCCAGGACACTGGGGCATGTTCACCCGTACAAAACGCCCTCTCATCTCACTTCACTCACCCTTCTGCTTCTCCTGACTTCAGGGGATATCTCTCCCAATCCTGGCCCTCTCTTTTCTAACACCCACCTTCCTAACCAGCACTGCCTTTCCTCTGGCAGCAGCTGCAATCCACACAACCTGATTTTTATTCCCCTGCTTCCTAGAACCGGTCCTCCCTTCTGTTGTGCCTTCTGGAATGCTCGCTCTGTCTGTAACAAACTGACCACTGTGCATGATCTTCTTATCTCCAATTCCTTTAACATGCTTGCTGTTACTGAAACCTGGCTTCAGGAATCCGACTCTGCCTCCCCTGCTGCCCTCTCCCATGGTGGGCTCCACTGGACACACTCACCCAGACCCAAATGGGGAAAGGAGGTGGTGTGGGTTTCCTTCTATCCCCACAATGCACTTTTCAAGTTCTGCCTTCACCTCCCTCTCTATCCCTCTCCTCTTTTGAAACTCACTGTATTCGCCTATTCCCTCTAATTTCTTTGAGGATTGCCGTTATCTACCGACCACCTGGGCCAATATCTCGCTTTCTTGATGACTTCTCTGCCTGGCTACCCTACTTTCTCTCCTCAGAAATACTCACTATCATCCTTGGTGACTTTAACATTGCTACTAACATTAACTCCCCAGCTTCCACTCAATTTCTTAACCTAACCTCTTCTTTTGATCTAACTCAATGGACACAGACTCCTTCTCACTCTGATGGTAACACACTTGATCTTGTTTTCTCCCACCTATGCACTCCTTGCAACCTCTCCAACACCCCTTTCCCACTCTCAGACCACAACCTGGTCAGTTTCACAATCACCCTGTCCCCAACGCGGACTCCCCCTACACGTCACACTGTCACCCGGAGAAACCTCCACCACCTTGACCCTTCTCTTCTCCACTCTGCTACTGACTCCCTCTATGACAATATCTCACCCATGCCCTGCCCTGACCTGGCTTCTTCTGTTTTTACCTTTCAGAGTATTTTATTAATTTTCCAAATTACAATAAGACAATAAAATAGCACATGATGCACAATCAGTATAACATACAATTGCATTACAGTTTCTTCCACATTAGCGTAATCAAGTAGTAGGAAGGGATCACTAGAGGCTATACACACAATATATAATAGTTCTGTACAACAGAACATATCTATCCACCTATTCTTGCCAATTTATCCCCCATCACTAAAATCAAAAATTAGAACAGTCTGAGAGGAATATCTGACCTAGGGATCCGCCTATGTCTGAAGCAAACATTTGTTATGATCTCCTCCATATCTATATCAATAGGGAGACTTTCTGTCCAGCATCTATGTACTAAACGGCTCACATGTGTGAGCATAAAGAAAAAAATAAAAAACAGACAAAAAGAGGAAAAAGAATTAGATACTAAATGAAGCAGAACAGAATCCGAAAAGAGTAGCTCCATCCCCGACCAAATATCCCAACATCTACTTAAACCTTAAACATAGTCCCCAGAGAAAAATTCCAGAAAAGTTGAACAATGAAAATTACCCGGTTTCCAGCACCCCTGTATATAACAACCAGGGGGTCCAGGTCAATTCAAAACTTTTTTTTATTATCTTGGAGGATGCTGTGAAGTTTCTCATGGACCATAATCCACGACATTTTTTGTTTGACCAAGTGGAATGGAATTGTTGGTGTTTTCCAAGCCCTAGCTATGGTTATTTTGGCTGCCAACAGAAAGAAA